CCAGAAAGTTCTACGCCTGCATATTTAGTAAACTAGAAAGCAATGGTAACGAAAATTTCATTTAGTTCCATTGCCAAAAATTCGGTGAGGAAATATCAGCCTAAAAAAGTTTAAAAATGAACAAACACAACCCATTGTTTTATAATTTTTACATGGAATAAGGTAACGTTAGTTATTTTGTCAAAATTGACTAACTTTGACACTTAAAACCGTTTGCATTCCAAACGCCCTCGTCAGAGCATACAGCTATGTGTATTCCGGTCGGCGCCCAACCTTCGACGCACTTGTAGGCCACCTGGCTACCGACTTCGTACTTCTGGCGTACTTTGCTCAGGAACTGAGCATTTGGAAGCTGGCGTGCTGAACCGCAGTAAACGGCTGAAAACAACGGTAGATTAAAATTGCGTTCTTACATTCAGTATCTGCATTTTTTAATACGTGAGCAGTTCAGATTGGTCGGTTCCCAGATACCTCTGGCGGTGCAGACACTAATATTTGTCGGTTGAACTGAATATCCCGGCGGGCACGCGTAGTGAGCTTCAGATAAGTAGCTGACATCATGTATGGACACGACTTTGCCATTTAAAATGGTTGGTGGCGGGCCACAAGTCACGGCTGAAAAAAAATTAACTTTAATGCGGTGAAACAATAAACCCCAGTAATACAGCCGCTGACAAGGCGGACTATGAATAAATACCGGTCGAATACCAGAAGAGAGATGTCGAAGTGTACTGCAAAAACTGTGGAACCTGTCATGGCTGTTAAACAATCGGCTGACTGGTCTTATAATTACCTTAAGGACGAGTGATTTAAGGAGCAGTACTCATATCATGCGTCGCAGAAATAGGTAGTCGGGCACACGACATTGTCTAAGTGTAACATCACGACATAACGAGAGTATTTTTTTGCTTTTACCTTTGAAAAGAAGTCGGCGTCTGGTGTGGACTGGATCATACGGTTAACGTTGTCAAAGCATCTAGTCTCAGTATCAACGATTAAATATGAATTTCATGGCAACGTATAACAAGCATGTTTTTCTCAGATTCTGCCACATCTGTGATGATCTGGCCATGAAACTGAAAACGATCAGCTGTAAATCATCCAAGTTATTCTCCTATACGTCTAAGTGAAAACTTACGACAGAAAAGGTTCTCTATTCAAAAAATAGGTGTTAATCATATTAATCTCCGCGGAAACTAAAGCAAACTGACTTCTTATACAACCTACCTTATGCAAAGGGCATCGGTTCACCAACAATGCCAGCTTATCTCAGAAGTAGATGGTGACCGTAACCTTAATGGGTACAGGACTGAAAGAAAGGAATATCCATCTACGATTAATTAAATGGTAAAGTCTTCGCAAATTCATTTCGAACTGATTAATTCCCCATTTCCTTTTTTGAATTCTCAATTTCCATCTTCCATTTTTTCAATAAAATCTTTAATACCTACTATGAACTAAACCATGCTGAATCATACTCAGTTCTAAGAATTGAGATGATACTTAGCTATTAAAAACATCTAAGAAAACGTTGCAAAAGTTGGCTTACGTCTGCACTTTATCACTGGGCCCATCCATCGCCCGAAAGGCCCGCACTTCAACGACCACAAGCCAGATTTCGACGAAAAGCCAGCAGCGCATGTAAGAGACACTGTCGCTCCATAGTAGTGGCTATCGGAAGAGGAAACAATTTCAGTAGCGTTGGCGAACGATTCGCAGTCTGTAATGCAACAACATGATCCAAACAATACAAAGAGAAAACCGTTACCTTCTGAGAAGGTGCCGTTCACAAGCATCGTGTTGGAGAAACTGACGATGTCAAGATGGATTACTCCAAACGGACCATGGTACACCACGCTTCTGTTACCAACGGTAGAGATGTTCAACGGTGCTTCGATTTCGTTCGACACCTGTGAAGTTCATTTATTCAACAAGCATTAAGTAAATGAATTTCCGATAAAATATTAGGACAATAATAGGCAAATGATGATGAAGAGATATCGCTGAAGTTATTCATCGCACCCTTGAACAGGTGTTCAAGCGAATCGATTGCTACTGAAGATAAATAGACGCTATTTAAGCCACAGTCTGATTCTTTCAGAGACATCACAAAAACTCCAAGAAAGAACGAAGGAGCGGAAAGAAGCCAGCATCAAAGCAGAACTTCACATGAACGTGAAGAAGACTCAGGTCATATTTGCCAAATACGTGACCCTTCGACCTGCTCAAATCAAACGACTTGTTTTTAAAGAAGAGAAAAACTGCCTGCCTAGAAGAACAGCTGTCTGCGATGGACAACTGAATTGCAAAATCATGAGAAGAATAAAAGTGAGGCTGTGCAGAGAAGTTGATGATCGATTTTGTAATCGTACCGTCTGACTGCTCTTTAATGGATGTTAGCGTTAAGAGAAACGCAGAGCTGTCCAATAATCACTACCTTGATTATGGCACGCTATGCTTGAGAAATAAAATACCATGCGAAGATCTGGTCAGAGAAGCAACCAGAGAATCAAACGGGAAATATTATTTTCGGTGGACATGAGAGCGAAATTTGCAAACAACATCACACGGCGGTTTGATCAGATTCAGGTAGTTATTACTTATGTTGAAGCCGAATGGCAGCTCTTTAAGAGCCGCGTAGTCAGGGCTATCGCTGAATGCTACGAATTCAAACTGGTTGGCTTGCCGCCCAGAGGTCAGAAAAGAACCTCATGATGGACACGAGAGGTACAACTGGCAGTTAAAGAGAAGAAGGCAGCTTTCAAGAAATGGCTTGGAAACAAAGAGTATTCTACGCGCGTGAGATATGTCGAGGCACGCAAGGTGGTAACGAAAGCGGTGACGAAAGCCAAAGCTGATTCCTGGGAGAAGTTCGGTGAGCAGTTGGAGTGGAACTTCCACACGGCAAACAAAGTATTCTGGCAGACCATCCGCCGGCTTCGAGGTGACAATAAGGGCAGTCTAACACAACCTCATGTCTAGATACCCCCTTAGCGAGAATGAAGATATTCTTCGACGATGGAGAGCGTGCCTTTAGGAACTCCTTGACTACGAGCAACAACAGCAAGACTCACCTACAGCAGCAAGGAATGGATATTGCCATTTCTGCAGATGAAATTACATACGCTGTGAGAAGCTCGAAAAGGGAAAAAGATTCAGGAATTGATGAAATTTGCCCTGAAATGCTCGAGACATTAAGCGAAGAATGTGTGTGCTTGCCTCTAACTTCATGTCATTGTCAAACTGCAATGGCCATGGGGAAGACCCCAGCGGACTGGAGAACTGGGACTGTTGTACCCCTATTCAAGAAGGGAGACAACAAGGAATGTTCCAGTTATAGGGGCATTACGTTATTCAGCGTCTGGAGTAAAGTCAATGCAAAGGTGCTAGAAAGGTGCCGCGAAATAACTGACTGCAAAATGAAAGAATAGCAGCGTGGCTTCCGGCTCGACCGAATTACATCTGACCAGATATTCGGATTACCTAAGGTTGCTGAAAAATCGTGGAAGTTCGCCCATCGAGTGGATGTGCTTTGTGAACCTAGAGAAAGCCTATGACCGGATTCCATGCGACAATTTATGGCCATGTTTGCGAACATATTGAATCGATGGCCAGTTGCAACTGTCTACACAATCACTATAGGCTGAGGGCATGTGTTGCGTAAGAGCAAATGGTGTTAACTCGAGACCGTCAAGACCTATCAGCGTTAGCACTGGTCTCCGCCAAGGCTGCGTTTTGTACCCTCTCCTGTTTCTGTTGTACATGGATAGAAAGGCCAGACGCAGGCTGAGCGATGAGAGTAACGGTGTAGTAGATGCTGAGGCGAAAGGAGTGCGGTTTTCATACGAATCTGCCTTGCTAGCATGTTCTGAAAATGACATACAGCGCTTTCTGGAAAAATTCGCAGTCGAGTGCCACGTGGCCGGCATGAATGTGAAATCTAAAACGAAAAGCCTAGTGCTTACTCGTTTTCCTTCCCGTTGCTTCTTCAGACAAACCGAGAGGCATTGGAGCAAATGGAGAAGTTCAAGCACCTCGGAATCGAATTTTAAGTATGATGGAAAATTTGAGGAAGAGACTGACCGGCGAATTGGAGTAGCAAGTGGCGTTCTGCGTGAATTAGCCCGATCCACTGTGACTAAAACAGAGCTGTCTAAAAACTGAGCTCTTGGTATTCAAGTCGGTTATGAGTTGTGGACAAT